ATTTTTCCCTTTTCCAATTGTTTGTATTTCCGATTTTTATTTTTCATTTTACCGATTTTTGAAGTCTCACTTTTTCGATTTTATATCACAATTTTTCATTTTTTCATTTCCTTTATTTTTTGTTGTTTCTTTCGATTTACAATTTTTTAATTATTAAATTTTTAAAATTTTCAGGCTTTGATTTTTCACGTTTAAAATTTTTCAATTTGCAGTTTTTGGATTTCCAGTCTTCCAATTTTTCAATTTCTTTAATTTTCAATATTTTGATTTTACAATACATATTTCTTTTTTTTTATTTTTCACTTTTTCGAATTTTAAGTTTTTCAATTTTTAATCTTTCGATTTTTCAAATTTTCGTTTCTTCAAATTTTCAAGTTTGATTTTCACTTTCGACATTTTTCAAGTTTTCATTATATACTTTTTCGTTTTTTTTTTTGATTTTTCAATTTTACAATTTCTTGACTTCTAAATTTTTAAATTTCTCCAGTTGCATTTTTTCGATATTACAGTTTTTCATTTTTCGATTTTTCACGTTCTCAGTCTTTAATTTTTGTCATTTTCAATTTTTCGTTTCCTCAATTTTTCATTTTCTAGATTTTATGTCACAAATATTCATTTTTTCAATTCCTTTATTTCTTGTTGTTTCTTTCGATTTTTCAATTTTTCAAATTTTCAGTTTCTCAATTTTTCCAATTTTCAATTTTTGAATTTTTCACTTTGCAGTTTCTGGATTTCCAGTCTTCCGATTTTCCAGTTTCTTTAATTTTCAATTTTCTGGGTTTTCAGGCTTAGATTTTTTTGTTGTTCAATTCTTGGATTTTTAAAATTTTTGTTTTTTAAATTTTCCTATTTATCAACTTATTGGGATTTCAATGTTTCGATTTTTTGGTTGTTCAATTTCTCGATTTTTTGAATTTTTAGTTTTTGATACGATTTTTTTTTTCAAAAATTTTCAGTTTTTCAATTTATTAACTTTACGATATTTCAGTTTTAGGATTTTTAAATTTTTTTATTTTCCAGTTTTCAATTTCTGACGTTTCTAAATTTTTCGATTTTTCAAGTTTTCGATTAACTGAATTTTTGATTTTCCCATTTCTCTATTTCTTGATTTTTCAATTCTTTCTTCAATTGTGATTTTTCAATTTTTCGATTTCTGGACTTTTCAATGTTTCAGTTTTGGATTTTTTCACTTTTCCGATTCTTAAATTTTCTTTCCATTTTTCAGTTTTTCAAGATTTCAGTTTTGAATTTTTTCGTTTCTTCAAATTTTCATGTTTGATTTTCACTTTTGACATTTTTCAAGTTTTCATTATATACTTTTTCGTTTCTTTATTTTTGATTTTTCAATTTTAGTTTCTTCATCTCTAAATTTTTCAATTTTTTTATTTTGCAATTTTTCGATTTTTCACATTCTGTTTTTAATTTTTGTCATTTTCAAATTTTCGTTTCCTCAATTTTTCAAGTTCTCGATTTTTATTTTTCACTTTCCCGGTTTTTTTAATTTTCACTTTCTGGATTTTGTCACAAATTTTCAAGTTCTTTCGATTTTTCAATTCTTCGAATTTTCCATTTTTCAATTTTTAAATTTTTCACTTTGCAGTTTTTGGATTTCCAGTCTTCCGATTTTCCAGTTTGTTTAATTTTCAATATTTCAATTTCATAATACGTATTTCCTTTTTTTTGATTTTTCATTTTTTCGATTCTTAAGATTTTTCAAGTTTTCATTTTGTAATTTTTCGTTTTTTATTTTTGATTTTTCAATTTTACAATTTCTCGACTTCCAAAACTTTCTATTTTTCGGTTTGCGTCAGTTTTTCAATTTGGCAATTTTTGAATATTACAGTTTTTCATTTTTCTATTTTTCAGTTTCCCAATTTATAATTTTTCCCTTTTCCAATTGTTTGTATTTCCGATTTTTATTTTTCATTTTTTCATTTCCTTTATTTTTTTGTTGTTTCTTTCGATTTACAATTTTTTAATTATTCAATTTTTCAAATTTTCAGGCTTTGATTTTTCACGTTTAAAATTTTTCAATTTGCGGTTTTTGGATTTCCAGTCTTCCAATTTTTCAATTTCTTTAATTTTCAATATTTTGATTTTACACTACATATTTCTTTTTTTTTTCCCTTTTCCGAATTTTAAGTTTTTCAATTTTTATTCTTTCGATTTTCTGAGTTTTCACGCTTAAATTTTTGTTGTTGTTCAATTCTTGGATTTTTAAAATTTTTGTTTTTTAAATTTTCCTATTTATCAACTTACTGGGATTTCAATATTTTGATTTTTTGATTGTTCAATTTCTCGTTTTTTTGAATTTTTAGTTTTTGATACGATTTTTTTTTTTCAAAAATTTTCAGTTTTTCAATTTATTAACTTTACAATATTTCAGTTTTATGATTTTTAAATTTTTTTATTTTTCAGTTTTCAATTTTTGACGTTTCTAAATTTTTCGATTTTTCAATTTTTCGTTTAACTGATTTTTTGATTTTCTCCCATTTCTCTATTTCTTGATTTTTCAATTCTTTCTTCAATTGTGATTTTTCAATTTTTCGATTTCTGGATTTTTCAATGTTTCAGTTTTGGATTTTTTCACTTTTCCAATTCTTCAATTTTTCAAGAGCATCATAAAACTTTAGTCAAAAAATATTTGCTTATCCCCTCCAAAAACTTGATGACGTCAGCTCAAAAGTTTGTGGAATAAATCATATCTAAAATGTACAAAATATGATGAGTCTGTACTTGTGATCTATCACTCCATTCATATTTTTTGGATTTGCATATACAGGGTGACTCAAAAAAATTAATGAATGCGTAAATATATTTTATTGATTTAATCAGGAACTACAAAACCGAATGCTCTGAAATCTTGCAGATGTTTTAAGGTCATAAAGAGTATAATAAATGTTTAGTCAAAATATATTTGCTTATCCCCTCCAAAAACTTGATGACGTCAGCTCGAAAATTTGCCGAATAAATCATATCTAAAATGTACAAAATATGATCAGTCTGTACTTGTGATCTATCACTCCATTCATATTTTTTGGATTTGCATATACAGGGTGATTCAAGAAAATAAATGAAAGCGTAAATTTATTTTACTGATTTACTCAGGAACTACAAAACCGAATGCTTCGAAATCTTGAAGATATTTTAAAATTATCATAAGCATGGTAAATTTTTGATCAAAACGTATTTGGTCGTCCCCCCTAAAAAATTTATGACGTCACCACAAAATTTTGCTGAATAAATCCCATCTAAAATGTACAAAATATGGTGAGTCTCTTCTTGTGATTTATCATTCCATTCAAATTTTTTCGATTTGCATATACAGGGTGACTCAAAAAAATTAATGAATGCGTAAATTTATTTTATTGATTTAATCAGGAACTACAAAACCGAATGCTTTGTAATCTTGCAGATGTTTTAAGGTTATAAAGAGCATAATAAATTTTTAGTCAAAATATATTTGGTTATCTTCTACAAAAAACTGATGACGTCAGCTCAAAAGTTTGCCGAATAAATCGTATCTAAAATGTACAAAATATGATGAGTCTGTACTTGTGATTTATCATTCCATTCATATTTTTGGATTTGCATATGCAGGGTGACTCAAAAAAATTAATGAAGGCGTGAATTTATTTTATCGATTTAATCAGGAATTACAAAACCGAATGCTTTGAAATCTTGGGAATATTTTAAAGTTATTATAAGCATGGTAAACTTTTGTTCAAAATGTATTTGTTCATCCCTCCTAAAAAAATTGATGACGTCACCCTTAAATTTTGCTGAATAAATCCTATCTAAAATGCAAAAAATATGATGAGTTTGTACTTGTGATTTATCATTCCATTCATATTTTTTAGATTTTCTTAAGAGGTGGTTCAAAAAAATTAATGAAGTCAATTTATTTTATTGATTAAATTAAAGGCAACACTTATTATTAGTATTACACCCCAACCAACCCAATTTGGTAGACACAAAATTTGTTAAAGGAAAAACTCGGTTGAAATATAAGGGTAGCACGCTTATTTACATCGACTTTAACATTACAGACCTGCATTTGTTTTATGCGCTCACTTGGTTCCGCGAATGTGAAATAGACATGTTTATAATCAACCAATTGTGAATTTCACCGTCAAGAATTAAAATAAAACCCAATGTTTTATATAATAAGCGGAAGTCGAAGCAATAAAACCGATGGTCGTTTTGTTTACAGTTTCTCTGTTTGACTCTCACGTATGGTGTTACGCCTGTCATCTTAAATTAAGAATGTTTATACATACACGATTTTCAGCTGCCTCTGATACGTATACGTGAGTAAATTGTTTCGTTATTTTATTGATTATTACAAATCAATATTCAAAACGACCCAATTCATTTTCTCGAAAATTTTAGAATATAATAATTTTATTCTTAGTATTACACTACATCTATCCCAACTGATATACGTGTCCTTGCAAAAATGTTGATGACGTCATCGCATTTTTTTTTTAAATTCCCACTACAAAAATGTAATGAGAAAAAAAACACAATAGGCATGCAGTCGTCAAGTTTCCGACAGCGAGGGAAGTACTGTCTAAACTCTTTAGACCAATTTTTCGATAGGTATTTTAATTTTTCAATTTTTAAGTTCTAGATTTTCCGTTAATTTTTTTGTTTTCCTTGATGTTTTGATTTCTCGATTATTCGATTTTTCAAGTTCTCGGTTTAGATTTTTTGGTTTTCCAATTCTTCGATTTTTAAGTTTTTAAGTTTGTACTTGAATCCCTTTATCGAGGGGTTAGAATTTTCGAGATTCTAAATCGAGCTTACAAGTTTCCGCAGCCACGATAACGAAAGATTGCGCCCACGACGTATTTTTGAAAGTGGCCGGAAATGATCAATTAACGCAATCTTCTCCCACTCCTCTCTTCACCGGATGGAAGGAGAGGGAAGGAGGCGGAGCGAACGCGATGGAGTATAAATGGTCGTGCAATCAATCTTAAAACGGTGTTTGACGCGCAACTTTTAAACAAGTTTATTACATATCTTGAATATTACAACAGTTCTACAGAAACGAACCCTAAGAAAGATAAAGATCCCATGAGAATCGAGGCGCCTACGAGATTGACGTGATACGCATCTTCCAGTTTTTCGGGGGGGACAGTTCTGGAAGAAATTGTGTGATTGCTGGTTTTACACCGGTCTTACTTACTTGGGGATGATCAGGTTTCCGATACTCAGCAGGAACCCATTACTTAGGGAGAAAAATACCATGATGATTATGTACTGGTAGTCGTGCGGAAAAACTACGGATAGATGGGACCGTGGTTGGACGTTACAAAGCATGAACAGAGGGACGAAAATGGCAATCCTTGCAGCACTAAAAGCCACGAACCAAATCCCGTCAAGACTCTAAAAGTTAAAAAAGTAACGTATTGTTTTTTGTAGAATTATTATACTTACAGCTATTGGTTTAAGTTTAATTGTGACAAATCTGGCGATGTAGTCGCCAATGGCTGGTAACACGAACGTCGTGACAGGCACAAAGTATACATCTACAATTAGTTGAAATTATTGTTTTTCACTCACTCTGATCTTTGTTACCATTCCATTCCCCTTGTCCCTCTCCTTCTGACACAATCAGTGACGTAATCGCCGGATGAGTCGGATTGACAGCCCACAAATAAAAGAAAAGAACAGACAAACTCTTCCAAATCAGTTTCAACGCACTAAAAAATTCCTTCGCAGTCATCATCCGTCTCTCTTCTTTTTCAAGTGTGGTTTTCGAGTTATAGTGTTGATAAAAATTGCTATATCGAGCTACCGCGATCATGAACACCAAACAAGCCAGAATCAAACCTATCACGATCCAAAAGTACACCAAAGCACTCTTTGTGGTGGATATTCCAACCGCAAGGGCTAGAACTTGCAGGCACGAAGTAAAAATTCCAGCTACCCCTTGGCCGTTTAAGTAATGTCCGAGATAGTCGGCCGGGAATTTGTACAAAATGGAGAAAAAAGTCAGTCCGGCATGCGTGGTCATTGCTAAAATTGTTGTATAGTATGTTTCAGAACTATGGTTATGGTTACTTACCGTTAATTCCCGCGATTATAAACATGGTTAGCACAAAAAATCCCGTTTGCCCTGTGAATTTAAAATTATGGTTGGTGTTTAGTTGGTAGTTTAGATTGACTTACAAGAGTCAGTGTCGACGTGGATGAAAATAGCTGAAATTACATATAGTACTAGAATTATAAAAAGTGAACCATACAGCCGCAAGTGCACGTTTAACTTATGTCCAAAGAAAAGTGTCAAAAACGAGGACAGAACGCTTGCGACGTGGGTAGATATGGTCACACTGGGCGAGAACTCCTTTTGTAACACAGTTCTATGACTAGAATCCACCTCATCGCTGGACGTGTCCCGGAATTTATACATCCAGTACTAGAACTAGAATTTAGTCAAAATCGACGTTCGTCGCTACTTACATCGTGCGCTGTAACGAAAAACGTGGACGGTAGTAAGTGGATCACTCCAAAGAACGCGAACAGAACATAAACGATTAAATACTTGTCTTTGGGTCCATTTTCGGATTTTTCTGAAACGAAAAGTCAGTTAATGCGCGGACAATTATGGTCTTACCGTCGTGTGGTGGCTTGCTACCCATTTTTCTGGCGTCGTTGCATTTGTTGAAATGGAGTTGCGATCGTATCGCGGTTTTATTTCATTGTTTCGACAATTAACAAAATTTTATCTGATGATAAAACAAAATAAGTTGTATTTGAAGTTAATTGTATTCAATGCAAAGATAACATCTCGAGGTGTTTGAAAAGAAGTATGTTATTGTAGAGTCTTTTAAACAATGTATAGTCAATTGTGGTTATCACACATTCAAGTCTCATCTAAACATTACAAAATTTCCGCGGAGCAAGTTTTAGGAACGACAAAGATGCTATCAGGTTGAAGCACCAAGATTAATGTGATACGCATTTTCTAACTTTGGTATAATTAAGTCAGATCAAATTGGAACAACGTAACTAGAGAACATAGAGAAGCGTCATAGTTTAAATTAAATGACGACACGAATTACAGTCCGTCGTCTGAGAACTTGTGTGATCTACAGACCAGAGCGCGCTCAGGCCAATGTCGACTCTAAGCGCTCGGAAACGATTTGATTGATCCGTGATCTGATACACATCCTAACCGGTTTCGACCATAATTTCTTGCTGTTTCAACTTTCGAATGCACAGTTTTTCGAAATTTTAGTTTGGGGACTTTTCGGTTTACTCCTATTCAATTTTTGGATTGTACAGTTTCTCAATTTTTCAATTTCTCGGTTTTCAGTTTGTCTCTTCAAATAATAATCTCTTTAAATATTTCGATTTTTCAATTTTTTACTTTTATAAAGTCTATTTGTCAAGATCCAAAATAAAAAAAAAACACGAAAAAATTCAAACATCGAAATCAATATAAATCAAAATATTGAAAAATCGAAAAACCGAAAATCCATGAAGCTTAAAAACAAGAAATCGAAAAATTGAGAGATCGAAATATTTAAAAAAATCCATCAAAATTTTCGATTCTTCAATGGGCCGTATGAATAAAAAGAAGCAGTTGCTCGTGAGCATGAGTACGAAGTATGAGCACATGCTTAGAGTAAAAAGTACGAGTATGAGCACATACTTCAATCAGTATGAATAAACTAAACCTTTTACTTAAGAGCATTTGCTTCGTACTCTGGAGCAAACGCTCATATTCGTTATCTTCATAAAAACACCCATCGATAGCTTATTTCCTATAAGAACGACGACCATGAAGAGATTATTTAAAAAACCACAATTCGCTATCCATGATTTTCATTTAGTTCGGTTATAATCAGTGCATTGTACAGATGAGTTCGTCAAGTGGCTGTGAATCGCCGGGGTCCGGTGCTGGGAAAACTGCAAATTCCCAATTATTTATAGTCCGAGAAATCGAAAAACGACCTGAATTACTATCAAAATCTCAGTTACCAAATGAAAAAGCAAAAAAAGAAAAATCCTTACTGGAGGTGGTGGAATTGTATGAAGTCCACTTAGGGCTTCGCATCAGCCAACAACAGTTGAAGAAAAAAATTAACAATATGAAATCGCGGCTCAAGAAGAAGACCGACAAACAGAAGACCGGAAACAAACGCATTACTTTGCATGAGTGGGAGAAGATCTTGTATAAGATACTTGAAGGAGATGATAATCCAACAATCAACAAAATTCCGGGTAGGTACCTATCGCATCTGTGTTTAATACACATAATATACCCTTTTACATAATAAACTCTATAATTCTATAAAATAACACTTTTTGTAGAACCTGCTGTAGCAGGTATGGCGAAAAGGGCACAAGAATGTGAGCCCAAACACAGAGAGGAAAAGAACTGTGAAAAGAGTAGACGTTCTCCCGAGCCCAAGAAGTCAAAACTTTACAACTACGAGACTGAGGAAACACACAGTTTAACCACAACGGAACTACAAAGACTTGTGTTGTTGGAGCAACTAAAAGCCGCAAGGATGCAAAGAGAGTATATTTTGAAGAAAATGGAACGACTGGAATAAACTGACAGTGATAATATGTGTATTATACCAAATAAACGATATTTAACAATGCATATTCAACTCTTTTTGTTTGTTTTAATTCAGAAACGTCTTCTAATAAAGGTGACGTCTTGGGCGTTGCAAGTCGCTTGTACATTGATACTGGGCCATCCTTTTCTATTGATATATTCATCCTCATGACGACCTGGTTTTTCAGTTCTAATATGGGTACAATCAATGACCCCAATGACCCCCGAAAAGTGATTGACATTTTGCCAGTCTTCTAAAGCCTGCAAAATATTTTGTTCAGTGTGAGGAAATTTGATCCATGATGAAACTTTTGCTGTGACCCTTGTTGTGACAAATGTAACTACTTTTGATACTGTCGACTGATGAACGTCTAATTCTTCTGCTATTCCTGACTGAAAACCGGAATTGGCCAAACACCTCAAACAAATTTTCATTTTCATTTTTGGCGACAAAGCACCTCCCCTGGTTTCAGTACAATCATTTAAAAAGTAATCTGCTAACCAAGTAACATTTTCTGCAGAAAATCTGCAATACGTGCTATTAATCGTAATATACTTATAATGACAAATGTTCTACGCTTACCTGTACAAGGTTTTACAGTCACCTATGTTGGTTTCCCTACGCTCCTTATAATGTTTAGTTTTTCGTAGAACAACCATGTCTGCCATTTTCCGAAATACTGTTCCATCCAACAGAAGTTGCGTCTCCTTTATAGCAGACGCATCAATTTGTGAGCAAGTGCTCCATAATGTAAGTAAACGCTCTCTTTTATTCATATCATTTGTTCAAGTGTAAGCAGCTACTTCAAATTTAGAGCACTTGCTCAAGCTCCAACACCAAAGTATGAGCAAAACCGTTTGCTCACTGTTTTATTCATATATAGCGAAGGATATGCTCCAAAAACAACGAGTACGAGCAAATGCTCACTTTTAATCATACGGCCCATAATGTCTCAATCTTTTTTTAATTTTCGTGTTCTTGACTTTTTATATTTTGATTTCCCAATTTTCCACTACATATTTCAGTTTTACGATTTTTCAGTTTTTCGAGTTTTCAATTTTTTTATTTTGGACATTTCTAAATTTTCGGTTTCTCGATTAATCCTTTCATTTTCTCAATTTTTTTACTTTTCGACTCAAATTTTTTGATGTTTTGATTTTCGCATTTTTCGATCCCTCGACATTTCGATGTTTTGACTGGTCGGCGTGTCGATTGTTCATTTTTTCAATTCGTCAATTTTCGATTTTTCAAGTTTCCGATTTTTTGACTTCTGGATTTCTAGATCTTTCAGTTTTTCGATTCTTTAGTTTTTCTTCAATTTCTCAAGTTTTCGATTCCTCTATTTTTTTGCGATTTCTCGTTGTGCTTTGTTAATTTTTCGATTTTTTAAATTTTTGACTTTTCAATGATGTTTCGATTTCACATCCTTCGATTTTTCGACTTCTCGATTTTAGATTTTTCAATTAATTGATTTTTTAGGTTTTTTGGTTTTTCAATTTCGCAATTTTTCGATTCTTTAGATTCGATAGATAGATATGTAGTTTTTGGATATTTCAGTTTTGGAATTTTTCAAGTTTTTTGATTCGTCAGTTTTTCTTTCATTTTTCATTTTTTCGATATTTCAATTTTGAGATTTTTCAATATTTAAAATTTTAGATTTTTCGATTTCTAGATTTTTCATTTCAGTTCTTCGATCACATTTCAGGTTTTCAAGTTTTCGAATTTTTCAAAGATTTCGATTTCTTAATCTTTCGATTTTTCGACTTCCCGATTTTAGATTTTCTGTTTTTCAATTGTCGTTCTTTCAAATTTTCGATTTTTTAATTTTTCAAATTTGACATTTATAAACTGTCAATTTGTCGATTTTTCAATTAATCGATGTTTTGATTTTCCCATTTCTTGACTTTAGAGAGTTTTCGATATTCCTGTTCTTCAATTCTTTAATTTTTCGGTTTTTCAGTTTTGAGTTTTTTTAAGGTTTCGATTTTTCGACTTCACTTTTTGGATTTTTCGATTGCTCAATCTTTCGACTTTTTAAGTACTCAGTTTTTCGAAATTTTAGTTTGGGGACTTTTCAGTTTACTCCTATTCAATTTTTGGATTGTACAGTTTCTCAATTTTTCAATTTCTCGGTTTTCAGTTTTTCTCTTCAAATTTACGATATTTAAATATTTCGATTTTTCAATTTTTGACTTTTATAAACTCTTTATTTGTCAAAATCCAAAATTAAAAAAAAAACACGAAAAAATTCAAACATCGAAATCTCGATAAATCTAGAAATCAAAACATTGAAAAATCTGAAAACTGAAAATCCATGAAGCTTAAAACCCAGCAGTCGAAAAATTGAATTCGAACAATGAAAAAATTGAAAATTGTAGAATTAAAAATTTTGAAAATCGAATAATCGAAAAATCTAAAATTTAATGACCCGAAAATTGGAAAACAAGAAATCGAAAAATTGAGAGATCGAAGTATTTAAAAAATCCAAAATTGAAATATCGAAAAATTGAAATACAAAAAAAATAAATTTGAGAAATCTAAATTACGTATTGATTCTTTGACTTCAATTTTTTGATTTTCCAATATGTCATTTTTTTTAATTTTTCAATTTTTAACTTCAGTTTCAGTTTTCCGATTTTTCGACTTTTCAATTTTTGTAGATTTTAGTTTTGGGATTTTTCAGTTATTTGATTCCTCGATTTTTCAATTTTTCGATTCTTCAGTGTCTCAATCTTTTTTTTAATTTTCGTTTTCTTGATTTTTTATATTTTGATTTCCCAATTTTCCAATATTTCAGTTTTACGATTTTTCAATTATTCGAGTTTTGAACTTTTTTACTATTCGACTTTTAGATTTTTTGATGTTTTGATTTTCGCATTTTTCGATCCCTCGACATTTCGATGTTTTGATTGGTCGGCGTCCCGATTGTTCATTTTTTCAATTCGTCAATTTTCGATTTTTCAAGGTTCCGATTTTTTGACTGCTGGATTTCTAGATCTTTCACTTTTTCGATTCTTTAGTTTTTCTTCAATTTCTCAACTTTTCGATTCCTCTATTTTTTCTGATTTCTCATTGTGCTTTTTTAATTTTTCGATTTTTTAAATTTTTGACTTTTCGATGTTTTGATGTTTCGATTTCACATCCTTCGATTTTTCGACTACCCGATTTTAGATTTTTCGGTTTTTCGATTTTTAGATTTTTTAAATGTTTGATTTTTTCATTTTTCAAGTTTTCGGTTTTTAAACTTGTCGATTTTTCAATTAATTGATTTTTCAATTTCTCAATTTTTCGATTCTTTAGATTCGATAGATAGATAGTTTTTGGATATTTCAGTTTTTCGATTCGTCAGTTTTTCTTTTATTTTTCAGTTTTTCGATATTTCAATTTTGAGATTTTTCAATATTTCTGTTCTTCAACTATTCTATTTTTGATTTCTCATTTTTGTGGTATTTTAATTTTTCAATATCTAAAATTTTAGATTTTTCGATTTCTAGATTTTTCATTTCAGTTCTTCGATACATATTTCAGGTTTTCAAGTTTTCAAATTTTTCAAATGTTCCGAAAAACCATGAAGCTTAAAACCGAGCAGTGGAAAAATTGAATTCGAACAATGAAAAAATCGGAAATTGTAAAATTAAAAATTTTGAAAAATCGAATAATCGAAAAATTGAGAAAGAAATATTAAAAAAATCCAAAATTGAAATATCGAAAAATTGGAATACAAAAAAATAATAAATTTGAGAAATCTAAATTACATTTTGAGATTTTGATGTTCCGATTTTTCAATTGCTCAGTTTCCGGATTTTTTGACTTTTCAATTTTTTGATTTTCCAATTATCATTTTTTTTTAATTTTTCAATTTTTAACTTCAGTTTCAGTTTTTCGATGATTGGATTTTCCGATTTTTCGACTTTTCAATTTTTGTAGATTTCAGTTTTGGGATTTTTCAGTTATTTGATTCCTCGATTTTTCAATTTTTCGATTCTTCAGTGTCTCAATCTTTTTTTCAATTTTCATTTTCTTGATTTTTTATATTTTGATTTCCCAATTTTCCAATATTTCAGTTTTACGATTTTTCAATTTTTGGAGTTTTCAGTTTTTTTATTTTGGACATTTCTAAATTTTCGATTTCTCGATTAATCGTTTCATTTTCCCAATTTTTTTACTTTTAGACTTTTAGTTTCATTTTTTCAATTCGTCAATTTTTCAAGTTTCCGATTTTTTGACTTTTGGATTTCTAGATCTTTCAGTTTTTCGATTGTTTAGTTTTTCTTCAATTTCTCAAGTTTTCGATTCTTCTATTTTTTCCGATTTCTCGTTGTGCTTTTTTAATTTTTCGATTTTTTAAATTTTTGACTTTTAAATGTTTTGATGTTTCGATTTCACATCCTTCGATTTTTCGACTTCTCGATTTTAGATTTTTCGGTTTTTCAATTTTTAGATTTTTTAAAAGTTTGATTTTTTGATTTTTCAAGTTTTCAGTGTCTATTTCTCAATTAATTGATTTTTCAGGTTTTTTGCTTTTTCAATTTTTCTATTTTCAACTTCCCTTTTTTGATTTTTCAATTTCTCAATTTTTCGATTCTTTAGATTCGATAGATAGATAGTTTTTGGATATTTCAGTTTTTCGATTCGTCAGTTTTTCTTTTATTTTTCAGTTTTTCTCTTCAATTTTGCGATCTTTAAATATTTCGATTTTTCAATTTTTGACTTTTATAAACTCTATTTGTCAAAATCCAAAATTAAAAAAAAACACGAAAAAATTCATACATCGAAATCTCGATAAGTCTGAAAATCCATGAAGCTTAAAACCGAGCAGTCGAAAAATTGAATTCGAACAATGAAAAAATTGAAAATTGTAAAATTAAAAATTTTGAAAAATCGAATAATCGAAAAATCTAAAATTTAATGACCCGAAAATTGGAAAAACAAGAAATCGAAAAATTGAGAGATCGAAATATTTAAAAAATCCAAAATTGAAATATCGAAAAATTAGAATACAAAAAAATAAATTTGAGAAATCTAAATTACATATTGAGATTTTGATGTTCCGATTTTTCAATTGCTCAGTTTCCGGATTTTTTGACTTTTCAATTTTTTGATATTCCAATATATCATTTTTTTTAATTTTTCAATTTTTAACTTCAGTTTCAGTTTTTCGATGTTTGGATTTTCCGATTTTTCGACTTTTCAATCTTTGTAGATTTCAGTTTTGGGATTTTTCAGTTATTTGATATTTTTCGAGTTTTCAATTTTTTTATTTTGGACATTTCTAAATTTTCGATTTCCCGATTAATCGTTTCATTTTCTCAATTTTTTTACTTTTCGACTTTTAGATTTTTTGATGTTTTGAGTTTCGCATTTTTCGATCCCTCGACATTTTGATTGCTCGGCGTCTCGATTGTTCATTTTTTCAATTCGTCAATTTTCGATTTTTCAAGTTTCCGATTTTTTGACTTCTGGATTTCTAGATCTTTCAGTTTTTCGATTCTTTAGTTTTTCTTCAATTTCTCAAGTTTTCGATTCTTCTATTTTTTCCGATTTCTCCTCGTGCTTTATTAATTTTTCGATTTTTTAAATTTTTTACTTTTCAATGTTTTGATGTTTCGATTTCACATCCTTCGATTTTTCGACTTCTCGATTTTAGATTTTTCGCTTTTTCAATTTTTAGATTTTTTAAATGTTTAATTTTTTGATTTTTCAAGTTTTCAGTGTCTATTTCTCAATTAATTGATTTTTCAGGTTTTTTGGTTTTTCAATTTTTCTATTTTCAACTTCACTTTTTTGATTTTTCAATTTCTCAATTTTTCGATTCTTTAATTCGATAGATAGTTTTTGGATATTTCAGTTTTCGATTCCTCAGTTTTTCTTTTATTGTTCATTTTTTCGATATTTCAATTTTGAGATTTTTCAATATTTAAAATTTTAGATTTTTCGATTTCTAGATTTTTCACTGCAGTTCTTCGATACATATTTCAGGTTTTCAAGTTTTCAAATTTTTCAAATGTTTCGATTTCTTAATCTTTCGATTTTTCGACTTCCCGGTTTTAAATTTTCTGTTTTTCAATTGTCGTTTTTTCAAATTTTCGATTTTTCAATTTTTCCAATTTGACATTTATAAGCTGCCAATTTGTCGATTTTTCAATTAATCGATGTTTTGATTTTCCCATTTCTTGACTTTCGAGGGTTTTCGATATTCCTGTTCTTCAATTCATTAATTTTTCGATTTTTCGACTTTAGTTTTTGGATTTTTCGATTGCTCAATTTTTCAACTTTTTAGGTTCTCAGTTTTCGGATTTTTCAGTTTTTGTTTCATTTTTCAGTTTTTCGATATTTCAGTTTTGGGATTTTTCAATGTTACGGTTCTTCGACTTTTCCATTTTTGACTCCTGGATTTTTGGATGTGTCGATTCTTTTACTTTTTCGATTTTTCAATTTTAGATTTTTAAATTTTAGGTTTTTCGATTTCTCGATTTTTCAGTTCAGTTCTTCGATATTTGAATTTTTCAAGTGGTCGAATTTTTCAAATGTTTCGATTTCTTAATCTTTTGATTTTTCGACTTCCCGGTTTTAGATTTTCTGTTTTTCAATTGTCATTTTGTCAAATTTTCGATTTTTCAATTTTTCCATTTCTTGACGTTCGAGTGTTTCGATTTTCCTGATCTTCATTTCTTTAATTTTTTGTTTTTCAGGTTTTTAATTTTTCAATGTTTCGATTTATTAAGGTTTCTATTTTTCGACTTCACTTTTTTGATTTTTCAATTTTTCAGTTTCTAGATATTTCAGTTTTAGGATTTTTCAAGATTTCAATTCTTCGGCTTTTCTATTTTTTTATTCAAAAAGCTGAAAAATCGAAAACTAAAAAACCGAAAAATTAAAAATCTAAAAACTCTCTATATTTTCTGTTTTTCAATTGTCGATTTTTCGAAAAATCGAAGATTAAGAAATATTGAAAAATTAAAATATCAAAAGATTGAAAAATCTAAAATTTTAAAATCCAAAAATTGAAAAATCGAAAAAGTAAAAAGGTAGACACATCGAAAAATCCAGAAGTCAAAAATACAAAAGCAGAAGATTTGAAATGTTCGGAAATCGGAAAATCAAAAAAGTGAAATCGAAAAATAGAAAATCACAAATTCGAAGAAACGAAAAATTGAAAACCAACCAACCTGCAATGAAAAACCAAAAATTGGGAAATTTAAAAATCCAAAGAATACTCAAGAATCTAAAAATTGGACAGAAAAAAACAAATCGAACGAAAAATTGTACAGTTGAAAAATTATGGAACCGTCAAAATCGTAATTTTTCAAGTTTGCAATTGTTGGATTTCCAGATATCCGATTTTCCGATTTCTATAATTTTCAGCATTTTGATTTCGCAATTTTTCGATTTTTAAGTTTCTCAATTTTTAATGTTTCGATGTTTGAAATTTCGTTTCTTCAATTTTTCAAGGTTGATTTGCAATTTTCAGTTTTTGCAAGGTTTTCATTTTACACTTTTTCGTCTCTTCATTTTTGATTTTTGAATTTTACAATTTTTCAATTTTTTAAATGAAAAAGTTGAAAAATCTAAAAACTAAAAATCTGAAAACCAAAAAATGGAAAATCGAAAAATCGGAGAGCTTGCAATTGTTGGATTTCCAGTTATATGATTTTCCGACTTCTATAAATTTCAACATTTTCCCTTAACAATACATTTTTTTTTATTTCGCACTTTTTCGATTTTTAGGTTTCTCAATTTTTAATTTTTTGATTCTTTAATTTGTCGTTTCATCAATTTTTCAAGATTTTGATTTCCAGTTTTCAGAGTTTTCAAGGTTTTCATTCTACAATGTTCCAATTTTTCGATTCGATTTGTTTTTTCTTCAGTCTAGTTTTTCGATTCATTGAGTTTTCTTTCGATTTTTAAATCTCTCGATTTTTCGACTTTGCGATTTTCGAGTTTTTAGATTTTTAATTTTTCGGTTTTTCAGTTTTCGATTTTTCAGCTTTTTGAATAAAAAAATAGAAAAGCCGAAGAATTGAAATCTTGAAAAATCCTAAAACTGAAATATGTATCTAGAAACTGAAAAATCGAAAAATCAAAAAAGTGAAGTCGAAAAATAGAAACCTTAATAAATCGAAATATTGAAAAATTAAAAACCTGAAAAATAAAAAAATTAAAGAAATGAAGAACAGGAAAATCGAAACACTCGAAGGTCAAGAAATGGGAAAATCAAAACATCGATTAATTGAAAAATGGAAAAATTGACAGTTTTTCGTTATTCGGTTTTTAAATTTTAGATTGATGTTTCATTTTACGATTTTTTAAGGTTTCGATTTTTCAATTATTAACCAGGCCTATGACATCTACTACTGTCAAGCTTTTCGGCGAAACAAGCGAATACATTTTTTAACAAGTTTATTACAATATCACATCTTGCATAGCAAACTAGTTACAACAGTTGTACAGAAACGAACCCCAAGAAAGACAAAGATCCCATCAGAACCGCAGCAACCATTATGTTAACCTGGTAGGCATCTTCCAGTTTTTCAGGAGGGACGGTTCTGGAATAAATCATGAAATGCTGCTGTTACATTAATGTTACTTACTTTGGTATCAAGAGATTCCCGATACTGAACAAGAACCCATTGCTTAGAGAGAAAAATACCATGATGAGTATATACTGGTAGTCGTGGGGGAAAACCACATTTAGATGTGACCTTGGCTGGACGTTACATAGCATGATTAGAGGGATAAAAATGGCAACTCTTGCGGCACTAAAAGCGACGAACCAAATACCATCTAGATTCTAAAAATTTTTCCAAATTGTGTTGTTTGTATGGAATTGTGCATACGTACAGTTAATGGTTTAAGTTTAACTGTTACAAATCGTCCGATGTAGTCGCCAACGGCTGCTAAGACAAACGTTGTGGTGGGCACAAAGTACACATCTACAATTAGTTGAAATTATTGTATTAACTCACTCTGATCTTTGTTACCATTCCAGTCCCCTTGTCCCTCTCCTTCTGACACAATCAGTGACGTAATAGCCGGATGAGTAGTATTAACAACCAACAAATAAAACAAAAGAACAGCCAAACTCCTCCAGATGGATTTCACCGCGCTAAAAAATTCCCTCCAAGTCATCATCCTCCTCTCTGCTTTTTCATGAGTTGTCTTGGAGTTGTAGTGTCGATAGAAAGTGTTACTTCGACCTATCGCAATCAAAGACAGCAAACAAGCAATCAACAGACCTATTACAACCCAGAAGTACACCAAAGCACTCTTGGTTGTGGATATTCCCACCGCAAGGGACAAAAGCTGCAAGCACGAAGTAAAAATCCCGGCAACTCCTTGCCCATTTAAGTAAGGTCCTAGATAATCCGGCTGGAATTTGTAAAGAATGGAGAAGAAAGTCAACCCAGCGACTGTGTTCATTGCTGAAATTATTTGTTACTATGTTGTGTTTGAAAATTTCTGTCTTACTGTTAATTGTTCCAACCATCAACATAGTTAGCACGAAGAAGCCCGTTTGCCCTGTGGATTCAAATGAGTGTTGTTGATAATGGGTCAAAAGAACTTACAAGAGTCAGTGTCGATGTGGATGAAAATTGCTGCGATCACATACAATACCACGATTATCAAAAGTGAACCATATAGCTTGAAGTGTACATTTAACTTATGCCCAAAGAAAAGTGTCAAAAAAGAACCTAGAACGCCTGTGACGTGCGTGGATATGGTCACACTTGCCGAGAACTCCGCTTGAAGGGTAGTTCTATGACTGGAGTCGATTATATCGCTGGTCGTGTCACGGAATTTGTACATCCAGTACTAGAACTAGACTTTAGTCAAAATCGACGTTCGTCGTTACTTACATCGTGTGCTGTAACGAAAAAAGTTGCCGGTAGGAAGTGGATGATTCCGAAGAATCCAAAAACGGCATAAACAAGTAAATACTTGTCTTTGGGTTCATGGTCAAATTTTTCTGAAACGAAAAAAGTGTTATTTTCAAGTCGGATATTAACATGTCGACTTACCATTGTCTACCTCCGTGCTACCCATTTTCTGGCCTCGTCATTGCATTTGTCGAAGTCGCGTTACAATCGTATCGCGGTTTTATTGTTTGAAGTGTGTAAGAAGAGAATTTCATTGTCTTAGTAATTAACAAAATTTTATCTGGTGATAAAATAATTTTTACTTCAAATGAATTCTATTCAAATGTGGTGGTTCGAACTTACAATGTGAAGTCTATGAAAAGAAATTTGGTACGACGAAATGAACATAATGAACGATTTAATTATGAATTAATTAAGTTAATGACGTCATCGACTTTCTGAAGGGAATGCGTAACTACGTAACTAAATACCATGATAAACGTATGGTAACTACGTGAAAAATTACTGATAAGTGTGATAGAAATAGCAAATCAGATAAGTTATCATCAAAATTCTAGACAACCAATTAACATTTGATTATAGTTAACGCACATCTGAAATAATAATAATAACAACAATAATAATTTCGTTGTTAACGATTTAATGGCGTTTTTCTTTCTCCTTCTGAAACAATTAGTGACTTGATACTCGACGGTAGGATTAACAGTCCACAAACAAAAGAAAAGAGCAAACAAACTCTCCCAAATGGATTTTAAACCACTAAAAAATTCATTAGAACTCATAATCTGCGTCTTTATTGTTTCATGGTCGTTTTTAGAGTTGCAATGTCGTTAAAAATCGTTAAGTCGAGCCACCATGATCATGAAAAACAAACAAGCAGTTATCGGCCTATTGTTGTCCAGGAGTACATTAAGAGTAAGTTGAAGCTGCTATTTTTCCCAGCAAGCTTTTGCATTAAAATGAAGTCAATTTTTGGATTTTTTTTTAGCAGCCTCATAAAATGAAATTGTAGAAGAGCCTGATTTACACGATATTTATTAACCTGTCAGAAGCGTCATAGTTTAAATTAAATGACGGTTGAGGACGCCTCGATTTATGTTGGCAACAGTGTTTGTTTCTAACTAGGAATAAAATTAACTACAATAGAAAAACTGTCATAATATTTTTAATGACGCGTTTTACTTTCAACAAATTGACACTAGATTTAGCGATTTAATTTGGGGACTTTTCAGTTTACTCCTGTTTATTATTCAATTTTTCGATCTTACGATTTTGCAGGTCAAAAATGGAAAAGTCGAAGAACAAATATTGAAAAATCCCAAAACTGAAATTTCGAAAAACTGAAAAATAAAAGAAAAACTGACGAATCGAAAAGTTGAGAAATCAAAAACCTGCAAAATCGTGAGATCAAAAAATCGAATAATAAGTAAACTGAAAAATCCCAAAACTGAAATGTCCAAAACTGAGAAATTAAAAATTTGAAAAATTGAGAAACCGAAAAATCAAAAAAATGAAGTTGAAAAATCAATTAATTGAAAAATCGTAAAATTGAAGAGAAAAACTGAAAACCGAGAAATTGAAAAATTGAGAAATCGAAAAATTTTAAATTTTAAATATTGAAAAATTAAAAAAAACTGAAAAATCTAAACTTTAAAAATCGAAAAATTGAAAAAAAAATTGATTGATTTTTCAACTTCATTTTTTACTTTTTCGATTTTTAAATTTTAGATTTCTCAATTTTTTGATATTTTAATTTTTCAATATTTAAAATTTTAGATTTTTCGAATTTTCATTTCAGCTCTTCCGTATTTCAATTTATCAAATGTTTCGATTTCTTAATCTATCGATTTTTCAGTTTTTCTAGTTTGACATTTATAAACTGCCAATTTTTCGATTTTTCAATTAATCGATGTTTTGATTTTCCTGTTCTTCAATTCTTTAATTTTTCGATTTTTATGTTTTTAGTTTTTTCAAGGTTTCGATTTTTCGACTTCACTTTTTGGATTTTTCGATTGCCTAATTTTTCAACTTTTCAGGTTCTCAGTTTTTAATATTTCTGTTTTCGGATTTTTTAGGTTTTCCATTTTTCAGTTTTTCTTTCATTATTCAGTTTTTCGATATCTCAGTTTTGGGATTTTTGTATATTTCGATCCTTCGACTTTTCGATTTTTGACTCCTGATTTTTTCGATGTGTCGATTATTTTACTTTCTCGGTTTTTTAATTTTTTAAATTTTAGATTTTTCGATTTCTCAATTTTTCAGTTCAGTTCTTGGATATTTGAATTTTTCAAATGTTTCGATTTCTTAATCTTTTGATTTTTCGACTTCCCGGTTTAAGATTTTCTGTTTTTCAATTGGAGTTTTTTTAAATTTTCAATTTTTCATTTTTTAGTTTTTTTAAGGTTTCGATTTTCGACTTCACTTTTTGGATTTTTCGATTGCTCAATTTTTCAACTTTGTAGGTTTTTGGATATTTCAGTTTTCGGATTTTTCAAGTTTTCCATTTTTCAGTTTTTCGATATCTCAGTTTTGGAATTTTTCAATATTTCGATTCTTCGACTTTTCGATTTTTGACTCCTGAATTTTCGATGTGTCGGTTATTTTACTTTTTCGATTTTTTAATTGTTTAAATTTTAGATTTTTCGATTTCTCGATTTTTCAGTTCAGCTCTTCGATATTTGAATTTTTCAAGTTTTCGAATTTTTCAAATGTTTCGATTTCTTAATCTTTTGATTTTTCGACTTCCCGGTTTTAGATATTCTGTTTTTCAATTGTCGTTTTTTCAATCTTTCGATTTTTAAATTTTAGATTTTTCAGTTTTTTGATATTTTAATTTTTCAATATTTAAAATTTTTGATTTTTCGATTTCTCGATTTTTCATTTCAGTTCTTCGACATTTCCGTTTTTCATGTTTTCGAATTTTTCAAATGTTTTGATTTCTTAATCTATCGATTTTTCGACTTCCCGCTTTTAGATATTCTGTTTTTCAATTGTCGTTTTTTCAAATTTTCGATTTTTCAACTTTTCCAATTTGACATTTATAAACTGTCAATTTTTCAATTAATCGATGTTTTGATTTTCCCATTTCTTGGCTTTCGAGGGTTTCGATATTCCTGTTCTTCAATTCCGTAATTTTTCGATTTTTCATTTTTTAGTTTTTTTAAGGTTTCGGTTTTTCGACTTCACTTTTTGGATTTTTCGATTGCTCAATTTTTCGACTTTTTAGGTTCTCAGTTTTTAGATTTTTCAGGTTTTCCATTTTTCAGTTTTTCTTTCATTTTTCAGTTTTGGGATTTTTCAATATTTCGATTCTTCGACTTTTCGATTTTTGACTGCCGGATTTTTCGATATGTCGATTATTTTACTTTTTCGATTTTTCAAGTTTAGATTTTTTAATTTTTTAGTTCAGTTCAGTTCTTCGATATTTGAATTTTTCAATGTTTCGATTTCTTAATCTTTTGATTTTTGGACTTCCCGGTTTGGATTTTCCGTTTTTCAATTGTCATTTTGTCAATTTTTCAATTTTTTAATTTTTTAAATTTGACTTTCATAAACTCTCAATTTTTCGATTTTTCAGTTAATCGATGTTTTGATTTTCCCATTTCTTGACCTCGAGTGTTTCGATTTTCCTGTTCTTCAGTTCTTTAATTTTTTGATTTTTCAGGTTTTTGATTTTTCAATTTTTCGATTTATTAAGGTTTCTATTTTTCGACTACTCTTTTTTGATTTTCCGATTTTTCAGTTTTTAGATATTTCAGGTCTAGGATTTTTCAACATTTCAATTCTTCTGCTTTTCTATTTTTGACTTCTGGATTTTTCGATGTGTCTACCTTTTTACTTTTTCGATTTTTCAATTTTTGGATTTTTGAATTTTAGATTTTTCAATCTGTTGATATTTTAATTTTTCAATAGTTCTTAATCTTCCAATTTTTCTATTTTTTTATTCAAAAAGCTGAAAAATCGAAAACTGAAAAACCGAAAAATTAAAAATCTAAAAACTCGAAAAAAGTGGAAAATCGCAAAGTCGAAAAATCGAGAAATTTAAAAATCGAAAGAAAACTCAATGAATCGAAAAATTGGAACATTGTAAAATGAAAACCTTGAAAACTCTGAAAACTGGAAATCAAAATCTTGAAAAATTGAGAAACCTAAAAATCGAAAAAGTGCGAAATAAAAAAAACAAAATGTATTGTTAAGTCAAAATGTTGAAAATTATAGAAGTCGGACAATCAGATAACTGGAAATCCAACAATTGCAAGCTTGAAAAATTACAATTTTGATGATTCCATAATTTTTCGATTGTACAATTTTTGGGTTTTCCAATTTTTCGAGTCCATTTGTTATTTCTTCTGTCCAATTTTTCGATTCTTGACTTTTCTTTGGATTTTTAAAAATCTAAAAACTCGAAAATCGCAAAGTCGAAAAATCGAGAGATTTAAAAATCGAAAAACTAGACTGAAAAAAAAACAAATCGAATCGAAAATTTGGAACATTGTAAAATGAAAACCTTGAAAACTCTGAAAACTGGAAATCAAAATCTTGAAAAATTGATGAAACGACAAATTAAAGAATCAAAAAATTAAAAATTGAGAAACCTAAAAATCGAAAAAGTGCGAAATAAAAAAAAATGTATTGTTAAGGGAAAATGTTGAAATTTATAGAAGTCGGAAAATCATATAACTGGAAATCCAACAATTGCAAGCTCTCCGATTTTTCGATTTTCGATTTTTTGGTTTTCAGATTTTTTAGTTTTTAGATTTTTAGTTTTTCGATTTTTCAACTTTTTCATTAAAAAAATTGAAAAATTGTAAAATTGAAAAATCAAAAATGAAGAGACGAAAGAGTGTAAAATGAAAACCTTGCGAAAAGTGAAAATTGGACATCAACCTTGAAAAATTGAAGAAACGAAATTTCAAACATCGAAACATTAAAAATTGAGAAACTTAAAAATCGAAAAACTGCGAAATCAAAATGCTGAAAATTATAGAAATCGGAAAATCGGATATAGATAATTGCAAACTTGAAAAATTACGGTTTTGACGGTTCCATAATTTTTCAACTGTACAATTTTTTGATTTTTCCAATTTTTCGTTCGATTTGTTTTTTGCTGTCCAATTTTTCGATTCTTGAGTTTTCTTTGGATTTTTAAATTTCCCGATTTTTGGTTTTTCATTGCAGGTTTGTTGGTTTTCAATTTTTCGTTTCTTCGAATTTACGATTTTCTATTTTTCAGTTTTTAGATATTTCAGGTTTAGGATTTTTCTTCTGCTTTTCTATTTTTGACTTCTGGATTTTTCGATGTGTCTACCTTTTTACTTTTCGATTTTTGAATTTTTGGATTTTTAAATTTTAGATTTTTCAATCTTTTGATATTTTAATTTTTCAATATTTCTTAATCTTCCAATTTTTCTATTTTTTTATTCAAAAAGCTGAAATATCGAAAACTGAAAAATCGAAAAATTAAAAATCTAAAAACTCGAAAAAAGTCGAAAATCGCAAACTCGAAAAATCGAGAAATTTAAAAATCGAAAGAAAACTCAATGAATCGAAAAACTAGACTGAAGAAAAAACAAATCGAATCGAAAAATTGGAACATTGTCAAATGAAAACCTTGAAAACTCTGAAAACTGGAAATCAAAATCTCGAAAAATTGATGATACGAAAAATTAAAAATAGAGAAACCTAAAAATCGAAAAAGTGCAAAATAAAAAACACAAAATGTATTGTTAAGTCAAAATGTTGAAAATTATAGAAGTCGGAAAATCAGATAACTGGAAATCCAACAATTGCAAGTTTGAAAAATTACAATTTTGATGATTCCATAATTTTTCGATTGCACAATTTTTGGGTTTTCCAATTTTTCGAATCCAATTGTTATTTCTTCTGTCCAATTTTTCGATTCTTGAGTTTTCTTTGGATTTTTAAATTTCGCGATTTTTGGTTTTTAAATATTTCAATTTTTCGTTTCTTCGATTTTTCGATTTTCCATTTTTTGATTTTTCAGATTATATTTTTAGTTTTTCGATTTTTCAACTTTTTCATTAAAAAAATTGAAAAATTGTAAAATTGAAAAATCAAAAATGAAGAGACGAAAGAGTGTAAAATAAAAACCTTGCGAAAAGTGAAAATTGGAAATCAACCTTGAAAAATTGAAGAAACGAAATTTCAAACATCGAAACATTAAAAATTGAGAAACTTGAAAATCGAAAAAGTGCGAAATCAAAATGCTGAAAATTATAGAAATCGGAAAATAGGATATCTGGAAATCCAACAATTGCAAACTTGAAAAATTTCGATTTTAACGGTTCCATAATATTTCAACTGTGCAATTTTTTTATTTTTCCAATTTTTCGTTCGATTTGTTTTCTCTGTCCAATTTTTCGATCCTTGAGTTTTCTTTGGATTTTTAAATTTCCCGATTTTTGGTTTTTCATTGCAGGTTTGTTGGTTTTCAATTTTTCGTTTCTTCGAATTTGCGATTTTCTATTTTTCGATTTCACTTTTTTGATTTTCCGATTTTTCAGTTTTTAGATATTTCAGGTTTAGGGTTTTTCAACATTTCAATTCTTCTGCTTTTCTATTTTTGGATTTTTAAATTTTAGATTTTTCAATCTTTTGATATTTTAATTTTTCAATATTTCTTAATATTTCGATTTTTCGACTTCCTGGTTTGAGATGTTCTGTTTTTCAATTTCTCAATTTATAAATTGTTCAACTTTTAACTTTTCGATATTTCGATTTTTCAATGTTTTGGTTTTACGATTTTTTAAGGTTTCGATTTTTTAATTTCTCAGTGTTAATATCATACAGTGTATCGAAAACAACCACAAAAATTGTCACTAAAAACATTTAAAAACTCATACAAAATAGAACAGTGTTTTCAAAACATTTTCTCGAAAAAAATCCATTGGGTTGTTACGATTTCAACAATATTCTTAGTTTAAGACGTTTTGCTAGTATAAAACACAAATAAAGAATTAATTTTTAGTTAAACAAAATATGTAAAATCATCTAAATATGAACCAAAAATATTCACTTAGTCGTTATAAAAACCGACCAAACAACTATTAATTAAAGTCAAAAATAAAATATTTGAAAAAACGAAACTACAAAAAGTACAAAAAGAAAAACCTCCTCCTTACAAAAACTTTAATAGAACATACAAAACTTATATACAATCTAGTGGATAACACAAACTCAAAATAATATCGTCACGTAATAAAATTCCCTACTTAAGTAACTCTTAACTAAATCACAGCACAGTTAAAGCTGACACCTCATTGGCTACACCACACATATTTTTATCCACCGCTATGTACAAATAACCCCCATTGCCGAAATCCGGCCCCCACGAGTTCCTAACAATGTAATATGGAATACTTGCAGTTAAGTCATACCCGACAATCTGTACCGCATGGTTCAATTTTCCTGCATCTCCATCACAGTGGTATTCAATAACCCCTCCCACATAGTTCTGCCATGTCTGCGCATTAATAGCAACAGCTAGAGGCCCATTTTCCGCCAGAAGCCTCAACATGATTTGCTCCCTGCCTACAAAGCTACAACTGACTTAAGTCACTAGTTCTTAAATAATATAAATCAATGGGTACCTTTCACAAATGTAGCTGTCTAGTTTGACTCCCTCCATGGAACCAGGGTTACACTGGTGGTTTTTGCGCACGTAATCCCGTTCCCGGAGTAACGTAAAATTGGTGTATGTCATCCAAGCTAGTAAACTACAGGTATCACCACCATCACACCCATTATTATTGTTACCAGCGCAGTCAATAATTTCCTGAACACTGAAGTCTTCAGTTTTGTTAGTTTTGATTGCTTTCATGGTTTCTATTGTCTCAACGACGGCGTAAGCCCAACAGGCACCACAAGTACCTTGGTCATGGACTTCAGTCACCACATGTTTGTCTCTCCAGTCAATTTTACCAGGAACGGAGAATCGTCGCTCAACGCGCTGTGGTCTAGAATGGTGTAGCGACAACCTCTGGCTTAAATTCGCGTAGAGGTGATTAGAAACAAACTCCTCTGGAAGCAGATCTGAGTACTTTGTTAAACCATATTGTGCAGAGGTATTAGTTTTGTTGGAATTTAGCAATTCTATTGTCTCTAGAGATAGCTGAAGAGATAAATTAGTAACAATAGGGAAAGTAGTACAGACTCACCTTAAATGCTTGCAGTTTGTTCAAATACTCTTCTGGATCATCGTAGCTTTTGTTGAATGTGGTTAAATACTGTTGGAACTGAGTTTCTACCTTGTCAGGACCGTTAATTTTAATAGGAATGAAGAAAAATAGCAAGGCGATGTAGAGAAAGCCTTGTACGTATGTGCTCCAAGAAGCCATTCTTATCAATCAATTATTACAAATAGTGATAACAGTGACATTTTGTTGATCTTCGTTTACAAACTGGATTATCATTATCATAGTGGCGACTTTGGCTGTGTTTTGTGGATATTAAACCACGACATTATAAACAATTAAGGTGTTTTTTTACGTAAAACATGACTATTTTTATTATTACCACTCCGGCCATCCGGCTGTCACAACATAACCTAGTTGTGTCAACGTCAAACGAAAAACGAAATGTCCCTAGATCAAACGAGGGGAATTTGAAATTAACCAACACAACGCCATAGTTACACTTTATTAAGTTATCGTAATATTTAATTTACTAAAACGCAAGCCGTTGCCCCTCGTCGTGATATTATACTTGGCGATACATTCTTCCGTCAGAGGGTTACCTTCCAAGTAGTAGATAACGTTAGGGGCTATCTGGAGCAGCCGCCCTGGAATGCACTCCAACTTATTATTGTCTAATCTTAACCAGTCCAGCTGTTTCAGTCTCCCCAAAGCATTTTCATTGAAATTCCGGATTTCATTTCGCTGTAAAAACAACCACCCTAGAGTTTCCAAGCCATCAAAAGCACCGTCTTCAAGAAATTGAATTTTGTTATTATTTAAGTGGATGCTGGTTGAAACATTTAAATTATTCACCACATGAACACCCCGGATGTTGTGGAATGCGCCGCTCGGCACTCTCCTGATTAAATTATTCTCGAAATTCAACACGGTAATTTTCGGGCTTCCCCGAAACCAGCGCGGATCCCAGTACGAAAGTTTGTTGTCTCCGAGAAGAAGAATATTCAAGTTTGGCAGATCGTCCAAAGCGCCGGACTCGATTCGTTCGATTTGGTTGTGAGCAAGACTCAGCTCTGATAAAGACAAACTATTGAAAACTCCGCTTCGGATTTCTCTGATTTCGTTGTTTTTTAGTTTGATTGAGTAGATTTTGGGCAGGTTTTTGAACGCCCCGGGTCGCACGTCTCTGATTCCGTTGTTTTCGAGGATGATGTCCAGGAGGAACTCCAAGTTGTTGAAGGCGTCTTCGTACAAAACTGGCACGGATTCGTTCAGGATTTGGATTAGAGACAGTTTTTCTAGGTTTTTTTCGGGATTGAAGCAACCGTTTATGGTTGGGAAAGGTCCCCTGATGCCACTCACTGTTACTGAGGTGTTGTTGAAAGTTGGAGTAAGGCAAGCACTTGCTTTGTAGATAAACAGAGAAAACAACAATTTGAGAAACATTTTTGCAGAGACACACAAACAGAATGAATGGTTGGCAATAGCTTAGTGACGCAAGTTATTTTGGTGATAACCTTTCGACATTTTATTCATTTGATAGATGATTAAGGGGGAACGCTAGACAAGAGACAAGTTTGAATTGGGCGCCATTTGTTGCCTTAAACGCAACCAGCAATTCTTCTTTAAATCTACCTGAAAAATTTAATAATTAAAAAATTGTAAATCGAAAGAAACAACAAAAAATAGAGGAAATGAAAAAATGAAAAATTGTGATATCAAATCGAAAAAGTGAGACTTAAAAAATCGGGAAAATGAAAAATAAAAATCGGAAATACAAACAGTTGGAAAAGGGAAAAATTATTAATTGGGAAGCTGAAAAATAGAAAAATGAAAAACTATAATATTCAAAAATTGCCAAATTGAAAAACTGATACAAACCGAAAAATTGAAAATTTTGGAAGTCGAGAAATTGTAAAATTTAAAAATCAAAAATAAAAAACGAAAAATTACAAAATGAAAACTTGAAAAATCTTAAGAATCGAAAAAATGAAAAATCAAAAAAAAAGGGAAACACGTATTATGAAATTGAAATATTGAAAATTAAAGAAACTCGAAAATCGGAAGACTGGAAATCCAAAAACTGCAAAGTGAAAAATTTAAAAATTGAAAAATGGAAAAATTGAAAAACTGAAAATTCCAAGAATTGAATAATCGAAAGAAAGAACATGAAAATTTGTGACAAAATCCAGAAAGTGATAATTAAAAAAACCGGGAAAGTGAAAAATAAAAATCGAGAACTTGAAAAATAGAGGAAACGAAAATTTGAAAATGACAAAAATTAAAAACTGAGAATGTGAAAAATCGAAAAATTGCAAAATTAAAAAATTAAAAAATTTAGAGGTGAAGAAACTAAAATTGAAAAATCAAAAATAAAAAAACGAAAAAGTATATAATGAAAACTTGAAAAATGTCAAAAGTGAAAATCAAACATGAAAATTTGAAGAAGCGAAAAAATTCAAAACTGAAATCTTGAAAAACTGAAAAATGGAAAGAAAATTGAAGAATCGGAAAAGTGAAAAAATCCAAAACTGAAACATTGAAAAATCCAGAAATCGAAAAATTGAAAAATCACAATTGAAGAAAGAATTGAAAAATCAAGAAATAGAGAAATGGGAAAATCAAAAAATCAGTTAATCGAAAAATTGAAAAATAGAAAAATTTAGAAACGTCAAAAATTGAAAACTGGAAAATAAAAAAATTTAAAAATCGTAAAACTGAAATATCGTAAAGTTAATAAATTGAAAAACTGAAAATTTTTGAAAAAAAAATCGTATCAAAAACTACAAATTCAAAAAATCGAGAAATTGAACAATCAAAAAATCAAAACATTGAAATCCCAGTAAGTTGATAAATAGGAAAATTTAAAAAACAAAAATTTTAAAAATCCAAGAATCGAACAACAAAAAAATTTAAGCCTGAAAACTCAGAAAATTGAAAATTAAAGAAACTGGAAAATCGGAAGACTGGAAATCCAAAAACTGCAAAGTGAAAAATTCAAAAATTGAAAATTGGAAAAATTGAGAAACTGAAAATTTGAAAAATTGAAAAATCGAAAGAAACAACAAGAAATAAAGTGTGATGTCCTCTCTAATAGTCCCGACGGTGGTAGGTTAATAACACCAATACATATTTATTATCAATTTATTTACCCATATTACCACTACAAACCCAGACTTAACACTCCCTTGTTTTAGCTATCACTTACACTTTTATACACTATTGATGACCTAGTTCCTTGCAATGGACAAGCATTTGCTGACTAACGAATTCAAACTTACTCATTCCATTACAAAAGGAATTGAAAAAATGAATATTTGTGACATAAAATTCAGAAAATGAAAATTAAAAAATTCGGAAAAATGAAAAATGAAAATCGAGAACTTGAAAAATTGAGGAAACGAAAAATTAAAAACTGAGAACGTGAAAAATCGAAAAATGAAAAACTGTAATATCGAAAAATTGCAAAATTAAAAAATTGCAACTGGAAAAATTTAAAAATTTAGAAGTCAAGAAACTGTAAAATTGAAAAATCAAAAAAAAAAAACGAAAAAGTATATAATGAAAACTTGAAAAATGTCAAAAGTGAAAATCAAACTTGAAAATTTGAAGAAACGAAAATTTGAAAAATCGAAAGATTAAAAATTGAAAAACTTAAAATTCGAAAAAGTGAAATATATAAAAAAAAAAGAAATATGTATTGTAAAATCAAAATATTGAAAATTAAAGAAATTGAATATTTGGAAGACTGGAAATCCAAAAACTGCAAATTGAAAAATTTTAAACGTGAAAAATCAAAGCCTGAAAATTTGAAAAATTTAATAATTAAAAAATTGTAAATCGAAAGAAACAACAAAAATTATTATTATTATTATTATTATTATTATTATTAAAAAATAAAGGAAATAAAAAAATGAAACATTGTGATATAAAATCGAAAAAGTGAGACTTAAAAAATCGGGAAAATGAAAAATAAAAATCGGAAATACAAACAATTGGAAAAGGGAAAAATTATAAATTGAGAAACTGAAAAATAGAAAAATGAAAAACTGTAATATTCAAAAACTGCCAAATTGAAAAACTGATGCAAACCGAAAAATTGAAAATTTTGGAAGTCGAGAAATTGTAAAATTGAAAAATCAAAAATAAAAAACGAAAAATTACAAAATGTAAACTTGAAAAATCTTAAGAATCTAAAAAGTGAAAAATAAAAAAAAAAGGAAATACGTATTATGAAATTGAAATATTGAAAATTAAAGAAACTGGAAAATCGGAAAACTGGAAATCCAAAAACTGCAAAGTGAAAAATTTAAAAATTGAAAATTGGAAAATTTGAGAAACTGAAAATTTGAAAAAGCGAAAGAAACAACAAGAAATAAAGGAATTGAAAAAATGAATATTTGTGACATAAAATCCAGAAAATGAAAATTAAAAAATTCGGGAAAACGAAAAATAAAAATCGAGAACTTGAAAAATTGAGGAAACGAAAAATTAAAAACTGAGAACGTGAAAAATCGAAAAATGAAAAACTGTAATATCGAAGAATTGCAAAATTAAAAAATTGCAACTGGAAAAATTTTAAAATTTAGAAGTCAAGAAATTGTAAAATTGAAAAATCAAAAAAAACCGAAAAAGTATATAATGAAAATTTGAAAAATGTCAAAAGTGAAAATCAAACTTGAAAATTTGAAGAAACGAAAATTTGAAAAATCGAAAGATTAAAAAAAATATGTATTGTAAAATCAAAATATTGAAAATTAAAGAAATTGAAAAATTAGAAGACTGGAAATCCAAAAACTGCAAATTGAAAAATTTTAAACGTGAAAAATGAAAGCCTGAAAATTTGAAAAATTTAATAATTAAATAATTGTAAATCGAAAGAAACAACAAAAAATAAAGGAAATGAAAAAATGAAAAATTGTGATATAAAATGGAAAAAGTGAGACTTAAAAAATCGGGAAAATGAAAAATAAAAATCGGAAATACAAACAATTGGAAAAGGGAAAAAATTATAAATTGGGAAACTGAAAAATAGAATGATGAAAAACTGTAATTATCAAAAATTGCCAAATTGAAAAACTGATGCAAACCGAAAAATTGAAAATTTTGGAAGTCGAGAAATTGTAAAATTGAAAAATCAAAAATAAAAAACGAAAAATTACAAAATGAAAACTTGAAAAATCTTAAGAATCGAAAAAATGAAAAATCAAAAAAAAGGAAATACGTATTATGAAATTGAAATATTAAAAATTAAAGAAACTGGAAAATCGGAAGACTGGAAATCCAAAAACTGCAAAGTGAAAAATTTAAAAATCGAAAAATTGAAAAACTGAAAATTCGAAGAATTGAAAAATCGCAAGAAAGAACATGAAAATTTGTGACAAAATCCAGAAAGTGAAAATTAAAAAAACCGGGA